GCTGGAGTCATAACACGGTCAGCAAAGCGGGGGGTGGGGGTGCGGGGCAGGCCCGCAAGGCAGGGGCCGATGCCTCAGTTTCTCTCGGAGTCTGCAAGATAAGCTAGTGAAGGGACTTCTGTAGTGAAAAGGACAACGCGGAGAATGCAGTTGGTCCGGTGGAGAGCTGAGTGGGAACTGCCAAGGGCCCGGCCACGCGAGCAGGGCCAGAGCCCCAACTGCAGAAGAGTCCAGATACTCGCTCACAAATTATGCCACTAGATGCTCACGGCTAACGGTGACGGGGTTGACTCGCCGAGGCAGTAGAGGGCCCGACGGAGGCCCGGGGGGCTGTGGGGGTCAGAGGGGCAGCCCTGAGCCCAGCCAGGATGGGGGCGGGGGCAGCAGGTCCTCCAATCCCGGTAAAGACAGTGACCATCATCACTGAGCACCTCCTGGTGCCTGCCAGTCCCTGACACTGTACACCCCGACATAGTCCACGAGGGGGCTGACACCCTCCACCTCAGAGATGCAGAACCCGGGGCTCAGAGAGGGTCAGTCCCTTGCCCAAGCCCTCACAGCAGCGGCTGGACTCCATCACGTTGAAAACACCTGCTCAGAGCTGAGCTGAGGTGCCAGGGCCCAGCCTCCAAAGGACCTACAGACCCCCCCCTAGAGGCAGGGAAGTGAGGTGCAGAGAGGGGGGCGTCTCCCTGTTGCATAACTCCAGGGGGCCGGCCACACAAAGTCTAGGCCCCTTGGCGAGGCCAAGTGTGCCTCTTGCTGGGGACAGGGTGTGGACATGTGGCCTCAGCAGGCTGGGGGGACCCTTCAGGGGGCCGAAGCCTTCCCCAGGCAGGCGGAGAGGCAGGACGGGCGAGGGTAGGGCTCTGGATTCCGAGAGGAAGGGTTAGCCCTGGCAGCCCTGGCCAGGAGGGGAGGGGCCGGGGAAGGGGACCAGCCTGCCCCAGGCACTCTGTTGATGCAGCTGCCCCCAGGCTTCTGGAAGCTTCCCCGGGTGCATTTAACAGCCAAGGTTGGGGCTCTGTTCCCACAGTGGATGCCTGGAATATTCATGTTTTCCGTATCCCTGTGTGGGAGCCAAAACCAGCTCCCGAGAGCCAGGAGAGACGAGCCTGAGGGAGAGGCAGGTTCCCCTCCCTGGAATGGAGTCACGGCCCTGGTGTAAGCCAAGGACACGACTTGACGACTTTCCTCTGTTGTCCCTTTAGGTGCTGAGCCTGGCTCCCTCCCCTCCCCATTGTTCTCCTCTCTCTCTCCTTCCTCCTCCTTCTGACAATTCACCTGCAGACCAGCCATGATGCTGAGGAAAGAGGCCAACCTGGTGCAGATCCTGGCTCTGCAGCTCGCGAGCTGTGTGATTCAGGCCAGGTCACTGTCCTCTCTGAGCCTCTCTTCCCTTCTCTGTAAAATGCGACAGTGATACCCACCCGACGGGCTGTGGGGTCAGTGAGTCCCAGTTGCCTATGTTCCAGCCCATTTGCCCTGGAAAACCACCGAGTCTAGGTCCTGGGAAATAATTACAAAAAGAGCAGAAATGCTTTTGTCTTTGAGAGGCCATGGAGAGTGGATAAGGTTACTGGATGTCTCGGAGTCTTGGTTCCCTGTCCCATAAAATTAAAGTAACAGTGCGACCTACCTCAAAGAGCTAGGGGAACTCATTGAATTTATGAGGATTCAATGATATGAGGGATGCCTTAGCACATAGTAAGTGCTCATTACATGGTATGTTGTTGTTATGGACTAGAGGCCCAGTGCACAAAATTCGTGCACGGCAGGGGCGGGGAGGATGGGGGTATCCTTCAGCCCAGCCTGCACCCTCTTGCACTCTGGGACCACTGGCTCCTAACCACTTGCCTGCCTGTCTGCCTGATGCCCCTAACTGCTCGCCTGCCTGCCTAATCTCCCCTAACCCTTCTGCCTGCCTGCCTGATCACCCTTAACCACCTCTGCCTTGGCCCCCTGCCACCACAGCTTCATCAGGAAGGATGTCCAGAATGACGTCCGGAAGGTCGTTTGGCTATCCAGTCTAATTAGCATATTACACTTTAATTATTATAGATGATACACTAGAGGCCCGGTGCATGGATTTGTGCACCAGCGGGGTCCCTCAGCCTGCCCTGTGGGGATTGGGCCAAAACCAGATCTCTGACATCCCCTGAGGGGTCACGGATTGCTAGAGGGCGGTTCTCGGGTGATGCACCCCAGAATTGGGCTCCCTCCTCTCTGGTTCCAGGTGCATCACCTGAGAACTGCAGCTGCCAAGTCACTGCAGCTCAGAAGCTCCTGCGTTAAGTGTCTGCTCCTGGTGGTCAGTGCATGTCATAGCTACCGGCCAGTGGGCAGGTCGCTTAGACTTTATATATATATATTTTTATTTCAGAGAGGAAGGGAGAGGGAGAGAGAGATAGAAACAGCAATGATGAGAGAGAATCATTGATGAGCTGCCTCCTGCATGGCCCCACTAGGGATAGAGCCTGCAATCCGGGCATGTGCCCTGACTGGTAATCAAACCATGACCTCCTGGTTCATAGGTTGACGCTCAACCACTGAGCCACGCTGGTTGGGCTGTTTTGTTTTTGTGTGTTTTTAAAACGAGTGTGGGCATGTGACAGAGACTGGTTCAGGGACTAGGTTGTTGATCCAAGGGGTCAAAGGAAAGACAGCTCAGGGACTTTTCCTCAAACTGTTTAAAGGGGTCACTAAGCTGACGTAAGTGAGGAGCCACTGGAGGCTATCTTGGTTCCCACAGAGGGAGAACCTGCCCGAGAGCAATGTCAACCCAGAAGAGAGCAGAACTGAGAGACAGGGATACACGCCTGACGACATCATGCAAACACCTGGATCCAGCCATTCCTGAAGCCAGAACTGACATGTTCAGCTGTGTGAATTGTTTTGTAAGTTAGGTTTTCCTTGTGTTGGGTTTCAATCTCTTATAATCAAAAAAGCCTAGATTAATAATTCCCCTCCCCAACACCTTTATGATAATAGTAGTTATTAGTTTAAAGTCTTGTTGATTAGGTAGCACCTATGAAAATGTCCCCTGGCCCAGAAGAAGTGGCTATCACAGGAAGGACACGTCGGAGTGGAGAATGGAGCCTGAGGCCTGGGAAGACTGCCTCTAACCGAGACGCAGGGGGAGGGTGCAAAATGCCTCTGGAAGAGTTTGCCTTTTCCGGAGCAGGCACCCCTGTGCTCCAGTCCGACTTCTGCCTGGGAGGGGCCCTGCTTCCCGCGCCTGCAAAACGAGGAGACAAGCTCATGGTGAAGCTTCGTTCAGAGAATGTGTGAAAGTCAGGGCTGCTTCTGCTTGATCGATGCCGGTTCATTTCTCTTCGCCCACGGCTCCCGGAAGAGCGTCACCCAGCCAGGCTGTTCCGCAGCCGGAGGAACGGCGGGGCAGCCCCTTCACCCTCGGCCTCTCCCAGGAACCTGACCCTGAAGCCTGGCCTGGAGGAGGAAACCAAATTGGTGGCGTTGGCCTGGCCTCCGCCAGAAACTCGCAGGCCCTTATCTCCCCCGTGACTAAATTTGGGCCTCAAACTCCATCAGCCTGGGAATTCCTGACGAATTCCAGCAAGGGCCAGAGAGTCTCCTGGCTTTTTGCAGAGCAGGGAGAACGTTTTTCAAGTAACAGTTTAATTTAAAAGTAATCACTGGTCGTTACAGAAAATTTGGAAAACTCGGGAACAGATCACCAGCAACGCCTTCGCCCAGCCCCGGGGCCCAGAGAGGTTTGCTGCTTTTCTGCTGGTCATTCCAGCGTATGGTCAGGTTAGTGGACTGTTGGTTGTTTTCTCTTTTTCCTTTTTAAAAGTATTATTTTATTGATTTCAGAGAGGGAGAGTGGGAGAGAGAGAAACATCAATGATGAGAATCATTGGTTGACTGCCTCCTGCACGCCCCACACAGGGGATCAAGCCTGCAACCATGACCTCTTGGTTCATAGGTCAATGCTCAACCATTGAGCAACACTGGCTGGGCTCTTTTCATTTCTTTTTACATCCATGAGATGGGAGTGTTTGTAGCTTCACGTCTTGGTTTTCCCAGCATATTTTAACATGAGGATGTTCCTGTTATGAACGCTTTGCTGAGTGCAGACATGTGCCTAGCAAACGACCAGCAGGATCTCAGGGATGCTCACACCCATCCCTAAGTCAGAGTCTTACTCTCCTTGCATTGCAGATGAGGAAACTGAGGCACAAAGCGCTTAAGTGCCTGGCCCGTGAGGTGCTGAGACCCAGCTATGAACCGGGTCTGTGCCTGTGCAATGGTTCACCCACCCTCCCTGAGGGAGCTGCCGCTGCTGCCTGCCCAGCACTCCTCCTTTGCTCCCGTTTCTCCCAGGGACTGAGATATCCACCGCTCAGTGCCCTGGGGGCAGCTGTTGGATGGAGGTGGGCGTTATCCTGTCTGACCAATCGGAGCCCCCTATCTCCCTGGCCTCCGTGATTGGTTCAGGATACTGCCCGTGATCCAGGTTTCCAGGTTGGTGTGAGTGAGGATTGCTGACAGGCTGGCTGTGTGTGAGAACCCACCTGGGAACCCCGCTCAACAGGGGGCCAGCGGAGAGAGGGGGAGACTAGGTCCTGCTGCAGCATTTCCGATTCTGGGTTCAGTTGTCCTAAAGGGTTCTTGGGTTCTGCTACTGGACTTCCCATTACCTGAGCTTTTTAATCCCCTGAAGCCATTGCGAGTTGGGTTCCTGTCACTTGTGACCGAGAGTTCTGGTCATTGGGCATTAGGGTTGCTATAGTTTCTTTTTTGTCATTATAAACTAGAGGCCCAGTGCATGAAATGCATGCACTCAGGGAGGTCCCTCAGCCCAGCCTGTGCCCTCTTGCAGTCCAGGAGCCCTTGGGGGATGTAGCACTGCCGTGGAGGCTTGTGGTTGATTGGTGCTCCCCCTGTGGGAGCGCACTGACCACCAGGGGCAGCGCCTGCATTGAGTGTCTGCCCCCTGGTGGTCAGTGTGCATCATAGTGACCGGTCGTTCTGCCGTTCGGTCGATTTGCATATTCACCTTTTATTATATAGGATAATGCTGCCATGAACACCTTTACATTTAGAGCTTAATCTCTGATTGGAATGATTTCCTTGCAATATCCTGCAGGAGGTACTTGGTCAAAGGACCAACCATTGTCAGGGCCTAGAGACATTTTGCAAGTCATTTCCTCAAGGCGGGCACCGATTCGTGTCTGCACCTCCACTCCCCAGAGGTGCACACCCCTGGGATTTACAAACTGAGTCTGGAGAGCTTTCTTTTTTAACAAGCCAGAGTTGTATTTGTTTTTTGTTTTGTGTGGGGGTTTTTTAAACAGAAAACTTATGTTAATATAAAACAGATAAAAACAGACAAAAAAATCGAAACACACCACACACAAAAGCACAACACACAGGACAGTGCAAACCCTTCCCACCCACTCGCCCCAAGTTTTACAACCTTTCTTACAGTTCCCCAAAGATTAGACTGCATTGGAGAGGTCACAGTATTGAATCAGGAAAATGAGAGCAAGAGACAGTTTGTAAAGGTCTGTACACAGGTAGTGGGGGCGGGGCGGGGGGCACCTCACTCCACCCCGAAACACAACACGGGCCTGCAGTGACCGTGAGGTGTCCGGACACTGTGATGTCTGCCAGCCCCTGCCCAATGGGGAGAGTTGCTTTAGAAAAAGATAAAAAGTGCACAGACACTCTCATAAGGCACAGACAGATTGTCGTACAAGTCATTTCATGAGGACCTGGGAGAGACGGTGAGACAGAGACCAAGCAATGCCAGGAGGCCCTGTGTCCCGGGCCGCTGTCCCCCAAGACACGGGGCAGAGACGGGGTCCAGAGGGAGGTCACTGCCCCCTCAACAGGAACTGACCGGGGTTCTCCAGGGCCCTGGGGACCGATGTCCAGGAACCAGTCCCCAGTAGCAGATGGCCTCCTCCCCACGTCTCCTGGCAGGACCTGAGGGTGGTCACCCGCTGGTGGAGACTTGGGGGTTCAGCCCGAGGCCTTTGGCAGCGACGTACGGGCTGCGCAGCGCCTGACACTTCCCACGCAGTGGGGGCTTTGCGAAGCCCGCAGGAGGCTCTGGTCCAGAAGCAGCGGCTGGACACTCACTGAGGTAGACCCCGGGGCCACAGTGGCCAGCGAGGCCCATGAAACCTGCCCCCATCGTCTCATCACTCTCTTACGGCCTCTGCCTCCGACCTCAGACCCAGGGCCGTCCTCCCAGCACCCCACACCTGGCAGGCACTCAGCAGGTGTGTGAGGAGGGACTTTGCGGGCGTGGACATGTTCTATCAACCCCCGAAACTCAGAACCTGGTTCTCATTGCTCTGCAAACCTCTCGTACCTACCACATGCGAGCACAGACCCCGACACAGAGGGATCAAATCAAACCTCGGAAATGTCCCCAACCCTGTGTCCAAACACAGGCCACGCCGACCAGAAGGCCCGGTCCTGGGGCTGGACTAGGAGAGGGAGCTTGTTTTGACTTGGAAACAGGCCGATTTCTCTAGCGATTCCAAAGGACAGGCACAAGCCCACAGCACAGGGGCATCCTCGGGTCTCCAACCCACTCCTGGGGGCCCAGGAAGGGGGTAGAAGGCCTTCCCCTCCCCAAAGCTGCCTCCAGGGGTGCCCGAGGGAAGAGGCGGAGGCCCTGGGGTGGACCCGAGCTCTCACCAGCTCAGCTTAGCAGAGGCGGCGGCAGTGGGCAGAGGAGCCTACAAGGGTTGTGGGGGCACAGGGGCCACAGCCCGGGGCGGGGCCTCCTCCAGGCACAGCGGCCAGACCCCCCGGGGGCGGTCACATGAGTCTAAAGGAAGGAAGCTCGGGCCAAGCAGCAGAGCAGGGGACTCAGCACCACACTCTCCCGGGTGTGGGTCCCAGCCCTGCACCTCCCGCTGCGGCTCCACCTCGCTCACTCCCGGGGCCTCGGTTCTCTCACCGGCCGAGTGGGGACAATCCCTTATTTCATCAATTCCAAGTAGCAGGGCCCCCACCCTCCATTTCAGCATCTCTGATTGGGATGAGCTGTCCAGCTGTGGCACCCGGCAGCTCACACTGGCAGCGGTTTTCCCCTAGTAACGCGGCGTGTTTTACAGCCGGTGCTGTCTTAGGCACGACTCGGCCTGGCGATAAGACCTGCCCCTCGGGATGAACGTGGGGGCCCCTCCCTGGCCCAGTGCCGAGGACAAGAGATGAAAGAGGGCCCCTGTCTCCCTCCTGCCCCTCTGGAGACAAAACCCGAGGGCAAGGCCAGCGGCTCCTGGGGGCCCTGAAGAAACCAGCGTAGAGCGTCAGGAAATGTCTGGATTTTAGAAAATAAACACCCTCTTCGTTCCTCTTGGATGCAGGAGGCTATTAATAGCAACCGCGAGCGCATCAGACAAGCCCCGGCTCCTTTCGTCCCAGGAGCAAGGCCTGGTCCACCCTGGGCCAGGCCCTCGGTCACTGCTCTCCTGGTGGCGTCTGTACCTGACCCGCCTGGCACCCAGGGGGCAGACAGGGGGCTCCTCAGGCCGCTGAGACCACCTGAGCTGTGCCTGTGGCTCAGGCCATCAGGAGGCTGGGGGAGGGGAGAGGGGCGAGTCCTCTCACAGAGCACTGTGCCCTCACCCAGCACCTGGAGGACGGAAGGCTCCCATTGACCAACTTCAGCGAGGCACCGAGCGCTGCCTGGAGTCTCAAGCTCTTACCTTGGCAAACACTGGGGTTCCAGCAGCCACCACCCCTCCCAGAGATTCTGCAAAATTAAAATGTGGGCATGTTTCCCAAATTCGCTAGGAAAAAGGACCAATCAGGGGTTCTTGCAGGGGCAAGAGGAGCGCTTCTGCAGTTGAGATCAGAAAACTGGGCCACTTCCAGACAGAGGGGAGGCGGCTGAGACGGGCAGCAGCCCCAGGGCACCACCGGGCGGTTTCCTATGCCGAGGGCATGCATGGCCCCGCTGCGCTCCGAGCCGGCCCCGGCCAACACCTGCTATATGAATGCCTGAGTCTGAGTGTTCTCCCTGCCGCCCTCACAGATGAACAGGTTAGGGGTTGTAATAAAAGTGACACCTGCTCTTGGCAAGGCGTCTCAGGCCTTTCAGAACGCTGTGTGGGTCCTCCCAGCGCTCTGCAGGGGGCAGCTACGAGGCTCCCTCTTGGTTGCACTGGGGACTGAGAAACAGAGAGGCCCGGGGGGTGCCTAAAGGCACGGCACCAGACAGGGCAGCTGGGGGGGCAGCCCTGGGGGCAAGAAGGGAGGAGGGCGAGGGCAGGGCCGGGGTCCCAGGAAATGCCCAAATAGCCCCGGGAAGGGGGACAGTCCAACGTCAGCATCTTCAGTTTCTACCCCAATTTCCCCAACATTCTAAGGGTCAGTGAACATCCTAGTGATCAGCCGGGGGGGGGGGGGGGGGGGCGAGAATCAGAACTACGAGGTCGCAAAGCCCTGGTTCCCTCCTACTTTGCCAGCAGGTTGTCCCAGTGATGCCCACAGGCACGGGTGGAAGCGTGACCAGCTGTCTGTGCCCCACAGTGGCCTTCCCAGCTCCAGGCGAGCCCCTGCCTCTAGGCTCTCTCCCTCCCCAGGAAAAGATAACCCGCTGTCTGGTACACAGCGGGGCCACACAGACCCAAAGCAGCCAGGGGCAGGGGCAGGGGCAGTGTGCTTATGATCAGGCTGCCTGGGGCGAAGGGGGGAAAAGGCTTCGGGGCGGCCTGCCCAGAGCCCTCACATGGCTGCAGCGCCGAGCACAGCGCCTCTCCAGGGCGGGTTAGCAACCAGAGAGGCAAACTGTTCTATGTTCTCCGCCCACCTGACCCCCAAGGAGTTGCTGCTCGGAGCTGTAAACAGCGAGCTATTTTTTCCTGCTCTGCTCCTAGGGAGTCTGCAGCCCCTTTTCCATACCATCCGAGGAGTTTGTTCAGGTGCAGGCTTCACACATTCAAAACCAGCGGATGTCACAGCCCCAGAAAGCCAGCCACTTCTAGTCTTGCTAGTGTCTGGGCTCCAGGTCGCACATTCCTTAGTCTCCTGGAGCCAAGATCCCTGTATAAATACCGATGCGTTCTCTCTCATTCTCTCACACATGCCCTCTCCCTGCTCAGTCCCCACCCCCACCCCCACACGCACGCACACACCTCAACCCACCCCCAGCAAAAAGCATTGCACAGAGGACGCTGTTTCCCAGCCGAGAGGTCACCAGAGGGACGGGCGGTCTGCCAGGCAGTTCCTGAGCTTGCTTTTGGGTCGGCCTTTGGGGGCGAAGCACTCTTGAGCCAGAAGCAACCCTCGCCTGGGCTCAGACCCCCAGGGCCTCGTCTCCATGACTGTCACGCCTCGCCCACCACGGAGAGTGACAGACGAGATGGCCACTGCCCTTGGGCTCCCTGGTGGCCATGGTGGTTGCCCAGCCCAGAGGGGCTTCAGAAAGGTGACCTTGCTCTGGCCAAGGCCCATCGGCGGGCCAGGCTACGGCCTGTAGATCTTAATGACGTCTTTGATGGGCCGCCGGCAGATGGGGCAGCAGGCCCGAGCCTGCCTCTTGAGCCGCAGGCCGCAGCTGGTGCACAGGCACATGTGTCCACACGTGTAGATGACCGTGTCCACTTCGCCATCGAAGCACACCGTGCACTCGCCGTTCTTGCTGCCTGCCGGTTCCGGTGGGGGAAACACGGGGGACACCGGGGGGCTCAGCGGGGAGCTGGGGGCCGTCACTGCAGAAAGGAAGGCCAGGCCAGACCTAAGTAATGTGGTTCTCAGGTGGGTTCCGTTGGGGCAACCCCAAGAAGGCAAAGTTTCTCTGGGGGAACCCATGGGAGAACAGCTTTGGGAGACACCGACTTCGGCTTTTTGTCTGGGTTTTGCCCTCTTTCCTGCCCCCAAGCATCAGGCACCACCATCACCCTTTGGGGAGCCACATCTAGATGCTTCTCTTCCCGCCAGCTGAATGCACAGCCGAGGAAGGAGAGGATGCGGGGGTGGGGGGGAAGGTGACCACCCTGCTTAGCCCTGGGAAGGAGCCAGGCCAGCCCCTGCCCCCGCCCCCGCCCCCGCCCCAGGTCTGCATCTCCTTACCCAGGGAGGACTCCGAGGCCGAGGAGGACTGGTTGACACTGAAGGCCATATCGGAATCGCTATCGTCCTGGGAGCCGCTGAGGGACCCCGACGGAGACGGGATCACAGGGCTGGACTGCAGGGTGCCTGCGACCAAAGAGACTCCATCAGGTGGGCGCTGCCCTGCTAGTCCCTGGCTTAGCCTCCCGCTCTGTCTGATGGGAGGGCAAGAGCTGCCTCACAGGGTTCTGATGGAGTTGTCCGTGCGAGGTGGACATCTGCTATGCGCCTGCCCCACCATCGTTCCCGCTTACTTCTGGGAAACAGCACTGGGGTTTTATTGCACACAATCCAGGCCAGTAAGAACGTCTCCCTTTTGGTCTCAATGGCAGTTTAGGGAAGGCCGCATAACCCAACAAAGGCCAGTGAGGCCTGCCCTAGAACTTTCACTCCAGCTACGGGGAAGAAAGGCTCACTGGCAGGCTAGCCTGGCACTGCAGGCCCGGCCCGCGGGAAGCCAGCACAGAGAAAGTGCACTCCGAGATGGAAAGAGGGGTGAAGTCCTACTGACGTCCTTTCAACATCTGGACCAAGCAACAGTCGCCGTTGTTACGATCACTACTTCCTAAGCATGCGGGAGGCGACAGGCACCTGCTGAAAGCATGCGCATCTCATCCTTTCACCCTCACAACCCCAGGATGCTGGGGACCCCTGCCCTTCCGCACAGGAGGAAACTGAGGCTCTGACTGCCCCACCTCTTCATGGCTGAGCAGCCATCAGACTGCGGCAGCCACTGATTCTCTCTGTGCTTCAGTTTTCTTCTCTGTAGATGGGATCATGAAACGGGTTTCCTACCATCGGCAGGAGGATAGAAGTGAACCAGGTGACAGAGAACATGGCCATCGTGTCTGTTAGCGTTGGGACTCGACTTCCTGAACCATGAGAAGGGAGCTGTGCTCTGTGAACCTTCCCCACACCCCCTCTGCCCCGCAACCACCACGCCCTGCAGCTCTGCACTCCCACGTCAGCGCCCTGTCCTCTGCCCCGCCCCATCCTGGAGCCCAGGGCCTGGCCCAGTTGGTGGGTGCTCCGTGGCTGGGGCATAAATGAAGGCAAGAATCATCTCAAAACAGGGTGGTTCAAGCCTGCGTTCCATTTTCTGTGGACGGTGTTGTTCTCACTTCCTCTTTTCAGTGTAACTGTACATACTGTTTCTCCTACACTTACTGTGCGCCGGCTATGTAAATCTTGTAGCCATAGCAATGGAAATAACGAGTGCACTGAGCACTGACCGACTGCATGAAGCCTGCCACACCCTGGCCCCGCGGTGCTTAGGTCGGTGCAGACAAAACGTGGTCCAGGGACCTGCAGCCTGGGCATCCCTGGGGCACTTGTTGGAAAGACATCCTCTCGGGGCCCAGCGCTACTGCCTGGAAACTCTAGGTCAGTGGTTCTCAACCTTCTGGCCCTTTAAATACAGTTCCTCATGTTGTGTCCCAACCATACAATTATTTTCGTTGCTACTTCATAACTGTAATGCTGCTACTGTTATGAATCATCATGTAAATATCTGATCTGCAGGATGGTCTTAGGCGACCCCTGTGAAAGGGTCATTTGACCGCCAAAGGGGTTGCGACCCACAGGTTGAGAACCGCTGCTCTAGGTGGAGTTGCGCGGTGCGATGCACGCTCAAGTTTGGGGACCGCGGGCTGGGCTTTAGTGGTGTCTCCAGCTCCCGCCCCCGCCCCGCCCTCTGGGTCCCGGCGAGCCCCGCGCACGCGCAGTTGCGGACTCACCGAGCAGGCGCAGCTGGCCGGCGGCGCCGCCGCGCACGACGAAGAAGGTCCAGAGCGCCTGCGTGGTGTCCACGCACAGCAGGCGGCCGCGCGGGCGCCCGTTGACGCCCAGGTGCACGTCGCCGCCGGGCCGCAGCGTGAAGCTGAGCGCGTCGCCGCCGCTCGGCACCGGCCCGGCGCGCGCCACCACCCAGTACTCCTTGCGGTCGAGCAGCGCGTCGGGGTCGGCGGGCAGCTCCGCGGGCCGGAGGCCGCCCGGGTCGCACGAGGTGATGCCGAAGGCCAGCGCGCCGGGCGCCGGCAGCCCCGGGCGGCCCACCTCCACGAAGAGGCTCTCGCCGGGCCGCAGCGGGCGCTCGGAGAAGACGAGCGTGCGGCCGGCGTCGGGCCGCGGCGCGCAGGCCACCTTGCGGTCGGCGGACAGGCTCACGTCGGGCCCGCGCGTCGCGTGGAAGCGCAGGTCGGCCTCGAGCAGCGCCGGCGAGGACACGGGCCGCGGGCGGTCGCGGGGCCCGCACGGGATGGCGGCGGCGTCGGCGGGCGGGCCGGGGGCGCGGCCCAGCCCCAGGTGGCCCAGCTTGGCCACCACCTGGTTGTTCTCCAGCTCGTTGTTGTTGAAGTTGGCGGCGTCGAGGCTGCCGGGCGGCGCGCAGGCGCTGAAGCGGGCCTGGCTGAGCCGCGCGGGCGGCAGCGTGTCCGCGAAGGTGCTCTCTGCGGGCAGAGGGAGGGGGTCGGAGGGAAGGGTGAGGGCGCGGCCCGGCCCCTGCCCATCAGCCCGCCTCCTTCCTCCCCGCAGCCCTCCCCGCGCCCCCAGGGGCCCCAGCCTCTCCCCACCCCCCCCCCCCTCCCCGTTCTTTTTCTGGTTCATGTGTGGGTTGGTTTAGGAATCGCGGGTGGCCCGCCGGCCGGAGGGGCTCAGGGGTTGAGCTTCCACCTACGAACCAGGAGGTCGCGGTTGCGGGCTCCATCCCCAGTAGGGGGCGTGCAGGAGGCAGCCGGTCAATGATTCTCATCACTGATGTTTCTCCCTCCCCCTTCCTCTCTGAAATCAATAAAAACGTATTTTAAAAATCATCACAGATGCACAGGATTGGGTTAAGCATAACCCTTCGTTTCCGTGACATCTTACCTTGGGGATGGGCAGGTAAGACCCTCGCCGCCTTCTGTGCTCCCTCCTCCCTTCCCTCCACCCCTTCGCCCTTTATTTCTCCTCCCGTTCTTCCCTCCTCTCTCCCTCCTGCCCCCGTTTTCTCGCTCCCTTCTTCTTTCTCTTCCTCCTTTCTCCCTTCCTCCTCCCTTCCCTCTGAGGTTTTCATACTCGTGAAGCTGGAAAGGGCATTTGGAAACCCTTTGTTTTCTGCCTCCCCAACCAGAACATAAGCTGCGAGGGAAAGAGGGGCCCTTTCTGCCCTTAGCGTGTGGCCTTGGTCTGTGAGAGGTGCTGCTTTAAGCTCCTTTCAGGAGGGGCTCCTGCAGTCCTCACACACCTGTGAGGCTGGTCTGTTATCTGTTATTACTCGCCATTTAGCGGAGAAGGAAGTTGAGGCACAGAGGGGTTCAAGAGTGTGACCACGGTCACAGGGTCACTAAACCGCAAAGCAGGACGAGAACCCAGGACGAGAGTCCAGGCCTCCAACACGTGCCGGCTGAGCCAAGGCAGCAGGAGCACAGAGCCTGGTGGCACCAAACACCGGATGCAGAAGGTTTCAATAAGAGATGGAGCCGTTCCGCCCGGCCGGTGTGGCTCAGGGGTTGAGCACTGACCTATGAACCAGGGGGTCACAGTCCAATTCCCCATCAAGGCACGTTGTGGGTTGTGGACTTGATCCCCAGTAGGGGGCGTCCCATCAGTGATTCTCATCACTGATGTTTCTGTCTCTCCCTCTCACTTCCTCTCTTGAAATCATAAAAAAAAATTTTTTTAAAGAGATGGACTCATTCTAAAAACAAGAAACTAAGGAGGAGTTTTTTTAAAGACAATCGTGAAAATATTTTTGAATAATTTTTAGTGATATGAAAATATGTTTTGATACGACATATTACAGTTAAATAAAAAAGCAAAATAAAGGTATTTATCATCCAGGTAACAGGTCTTTATACTTTGGTAGATGAATAGTTGACTGTCTCCCCAGCTAGAATGTGAGTTCCTGGAGGGCAGGGTCTGTGCCAGTCTGCTCACCACCATGTCCCCAGGGCTGAGCAGAGTACTGAGCAAGTAGCCCCATCATTATGTGGTTTATTGGATGGATGGAGGAATGAATGAGGTCTCTAGCATAGACTGTTAATAACAAAGAAATTGAAAAGAAAAAGTCATTAGCATATTTTGAAGGTTTTTTAAGTGACAGAAATATTAACCATAATTAAAGCAAGAAAAAGGGTTTCTCAAACTTTAAAACCAGGTCCCTCTGGCTAAGATTTTGTTAAATATTACCATATAGAATTATAGTTTATGTCATGGAATAAAATTTTTCTTCCTCTTCAGTTTTCCTAATATAAAATTAAGTCATAATCTTGAACATGCTTTTTCAAAAAGCCTGCCCGAGCCCCTGGGGAGAGTCTGATATGTTACCCTGCAGTCCTGCCGCTCCGTACAGGGCAGGTTTGGCAAGCTGGCAACCCCAGTTCCGACCCTGGCTCACAGACCTGTTTTGGTTGGCCTCCTGGTGTGCCCCCCCCCCCCCTTTTAACTCTTTGAAAGACTAACCTAGACAAACAGTATAATGAGTGCTGATGATCCAGATTGAACAATTCATGGCCAATCTTGTTTCATTGACACCTCCACCAACTCTCCCTCCATTATTGAAGCAAATGCTAGACATGCCATTTCATCTGAAAAAACTTCAGCATTTCTCTCAAGATAAGGGCAGCAAACTTTCCCCATGAGTTCTCACCACCAGGACTTCAGCATTGGCCGCTGCCGCCTCTGATAGAGCCAGCGCCACCCCTGCCTGCCTGCCTCCCCCTTGGACCCTGAGCCCTTACCAGTGGGCTGAATGCTCACTGCCTGACAGTGTAGACACTGGAGGCTTAGGGCTTAAATTATAATCTGAGTGAGTGGATGGATGGATGAATAAGCCGATGAGCAAATGAATGAATGCATGTGTGAATGCATGAGTAAAGGAGTGAGCAAGTGGACAAAGGAGTGACGGAATGAGCAACAGAATGGATGAAAGAATCAGTCGCAGTTCAAGTCCTTTACCCCCCCCCCCCCCCCATGCCTCAGTTTTCTCAAATGTAGAACAGGGATCATGAGTTGTCACGATAAATGATTTAGAAGTGAGCCCTCTGCGTCGCGTGAAATAAACACACAGCAGGCGCACGGAGACCATCGCCTGGCCCCTCGCAGCGGGGCCGGCGGCCGGACCTACCGAGGAGCTGGACCTCGTCGGTGATGCCGTACACGTCGATGAGCGCCCAGAGCGGGCCGCCCACGGCCACGCCGCAGTGGAAGAGCACGGGCTCGCCGTCGTTGACGCTGTAGAACACGCGGCCGTGGCGGTCCACCCAGTAGGCCAGCACCGTGTCGCGCAGCGCCAGGTTCTCGGGCAGCGCCTTGGCCCAGTAGCCGGGCCGCGTGACCAGGTCCGGGCAGGCGTACTTGGGGATGTCCTGCGGGCTCATGAGCGACGGGTCGTGCACCGTGAAGCCGAAGCGCAGCGCGCCGCTCCAGCCCGGGCGCACGGCCACCAGGCGCAGCCGCACCTGCTCGTACAGCCGGATGGGCCGCTGCGTGAACGTGACCCCGTTGCAGAAGCTGTTGCGCCGCGTGGCCCGGCGCGAGTGGCCGTCCAGCCGCACGTTCTTGCCCTTGGCCTGCGCGTGGAAACGCGGGGCTTCTCCCAGGACCGGGCGCCGCTCGGGGCCAGGCCCACAGCACGGCCGGGTGGACAGGAGGCGTGCGGGAGGGCTCGAGTCTGCGGGAAGAGAGGCAGGAGGGTTAGGGCCCCTCAGAACTGTGCCGCCCCAATTCATCTTTTAATAAAAATTCCATCTTAATTAAACCAGTACTTGGTGAACTTAAGAAGGTTCCAGCCACCCCAATCAGCCCAGCACTCCCACAGCAGTCACTATACCCACTTCACAGATGAGCAAAATGAGACCGTGTTCGGGGGAGAAGCACTGTTCAGAGCTGTTTCACCCCCAGATGGACCAATACCAATGAGCTCATCACCCAGCAGCCAGGCTGGAGTCAACCCACTTCTCCATCCCCATCAAATCCTTCCAGTCCTCCAGGGGCCACTCCGGCTGCAGTCTGTCCAAAGGCCACAGGGGCCTTGGATTCTTGGGGAGAAGTGTGTGAGGGGGGTCACGGGGGGGGGGGTCGAAGACTGCTTTTCTCTGCAATTTTTGTTCAAAAGCAAAGCAGAAACAGCAACAGAAAGACTGAGGTCCGGGGATCCCGTGACAAGAGGATGAAAGGCAATAGAGTCCAGTCTGGAGCCAGGCGCCGGCCCTTCCTGGCTGGGATGGGTGGGAGGGCTGGTCACTTCTCTAGCCCGTTTCCTCGCCTGTGAAATGGGACATCGCTCAACTCGCACAGCTGCTGAAAGAGCTGTGGCTGCAGTTTCTAGAACAGGGCCTGGCGCGGAGTCTGTGCTTAATAGGCAACTGATAATATCCCGATACTGAGGTTCCAAGGAGACTGAGGCCACAACTCTGTGCCTGCCCCTTCCCTTTACCACAGAAAGTGAAGACATCCTTTATAAGCAAGGTGACTTTTCTAGGACATGCACCTTTCAGGATGCATTTCTTAGGGAACTTTGCCCCAAAGGACTTGGAGAATATTAGGATGGTCTTATTTTTTAAAATATGTTTTTATTGATTTCAGAAAGGAAAGGAGAGGGAGAGAGAGAGAGATAGAAACATCAATGATAAGTGAATCATTGATTGGTTGCCTCCTGCATGCTCCCTATTAGGGATCAAGCCCACAACCCGGGCATGTGCCCTGACCGAGAATCGAACCGTGACCTCCTGGTTCATAGATTGATGCTCAACCACTGAGCCACACCGGCTGGGCCGGGATGGTCTCTTTGAAAGGATCTGGTTGCTGGCCATGCACCCAGGTGGCCTGGGGCTGAGGCGAAAGCGTCATCCTTCCCACCTCCTCCTCCTCCATCCCAGGGGCAGTTCCTGGGGGCCCCGCAGCCTGGGGGTGGCGGGGTGGGTGATACTGCATGAGTCTGTGCTGTTGCTCACAGCGTTCCTGGCAGGTGCTCATTAATCGCAGGCACTCCCTGGCACACGATGGTCTAGTGGTGGGAGAAGAATGGCACCCCAGGGCATGGCAGGCCGCTGCAGGGACCACTCCTCCCACGCCCAGCCACGGGGTTCACTGTGCTCTGGGCACATCAGGGGGTTCAATTACTACTGAGGCTAATGGGAGGGAGGGCAGGAGAACATGAAGAGGGAGAGGCGATGAGGAGGCAGGCTCGCCATGGCCGACCCTCCCTGGGCCCAAGGGGAAGGCCCCAGGCACCGAGGGAGGAAACCATGGGGGGGAAGACCTCTCGCCGAACAGAAGCCACTGACCCGTAGAAGACACAACACAAGGAATGAAGCCAAGGTCCCACATAAGAAAAAGAACTTCAGGAACAAGAGCCATTCCTCCATTTGTCAAACATTACGGGGCACCTAGTATGTGCCAGGCACCATGCCAGGCACTGGAAACAGCAGCCACCTAGGCAGATGAGGGGCCACTGGGTGCTGCTGACATTCCAGACTCCCTTAGGCCTGGGTGACGACGGGGCCCCGAGGCCCCAGACTCAACCAGGGACGGGTCAGAAGGTGATGCCCACGGAGCCAGGTCCTGAGGGAGGGGAGGGGATATTCCAGGCTGAGGGAACACTAGGGGCAGAGCGGGGGGAGCCAGACTTTGTGGGGAGAGTAAGTACTACAGTTGGTGTGGCAGAGAGCGTCTGAGGTTGGGCAGCCCCTGCTTCATAGGGGCGAGGGGTGAGGTTGCCATCGACATCACAGGGACCAGACACGAAGGCCCTAAATGCCAGCCCGAGAGGCTCAGATTGCACAGCATGGGGGACAGGGAGCCAGGAAGGGCTTCCAGCCAGGCAGCCAGCATTGCCCGCCAGGGAGGGGCCCCCGGCAGCGAGGACCGGGACACAGAGCCAGGCTGCGGCCAGCTCTGAACCACAAGGGTAAGCAAGGGCCCACGGGAGAGCTAGTTCATTCGGACAGAAATCAACGAGCGGGGAAATGCCACCGGTGAAAACCACCAGGAGAGGCAGCCCAAGGTCTCCGCGCACGCATGCTACGGCCCCGTCCGCCCGAGCCACCAGCTCCTGGCCGCCGCCTCCTCCCGCGTCCCCCAGGCCCATTCTCTCCAAGGTCCCGGAGCCGGCAAACTCTCCAGGAAACATTAAATACGACCGCAGATCAAAGCCCTTCGGAGCCCCAGAGACCACAAGCCACCCTTATTTGATTATTTTGAGCTCCCCTGACATCACTGTTGCTTTTCCAACCTTATCTCTTAATCGGAGAGTTTCCATACCAAAGGACTTGGGAATTCTAAGCAGACGTTCCTTCAGAGCGGCCTCATGATGGAAGTGGATGCTGGGCTGGGAGAAACTCTGCTTTGTTACTATAAGGGGAAGAGGCCTGCAAAGCCAACTATATGTTCGGGTGCACTGCAGCCAAGTCACCAGCGAAGTTTACATATTTGTTTAATCTTGATGATATGATCCAACTTCCTTCAGGGAGTGAGGGATAAACACTCTTTTTTCCCCTCTCTGCGGCCAGAGCCCTGATGTGCGTTAAAGAAAACAGAGGGAACACGTTTCTAAGAAGATGTGTTATTTACACAAGTTGAAAATGCTTAACACAAAAGAGCAGGCAACCTCCAAATTGTACACCCACACCTGCTTTTAGCTCAGCCCAGGGAGAGTGGCATCCGAGTTGGGAGATGTCCGTGGAAAACCCGGACTTCAGCCTTTAAATCACTGCAGGAGACGCTGCAGCCACACTATGGAAAGCTCGGAAAGGACAAAAACTGCCTCGGTCTCCCCACTTGCACAGCCTACCCCGCATTGCATTTTCACGTCCCCGAGAGAGCACAGAGAGAGCCCAGCGGGAGTCCTGGCACATAGTAGATGCTCACTAAATGTTTTTATTTTCTAAATCTCAGCTTGAGAGGCAGTTCTAACACAGGCTTGGAGACAGACAGACCCGGTTTAATTCCGGTTTTGTCATATCTTAGCTGTGTCATCTTGAGGTACATGCTTAATGTCTCTGGGTCCCCCCAACCAGACCTAGAAAACCGGTAAGAGTCATCGGCACGCTGCAAGATTGCTGAGAAAAAAGGAGGCCAACTCGTCAGATACTCAGTATGTGGCACATAGTAGGTGTTCACTAAACACTCGGTCTCTTTTTAAAACCACCTTATTAAAGGTTTTTTTTCCCCCCGGGTCAGAATGCCTACTGTGGGCCTGGGGAATACGTCCTGAACGGTTTCTCCCAGGGAGGGCCAGCGACCTTGGCCAGGAAAGGCCTCTTGCAAATGCTGGGGTTGCTTTCCCTTGATGTCCAAGGACACAGGCCTATTTTTAAGCCATCCCAGCAGCGTCCCAAATGTGCACTGGGCCACCTCCTGAACGGATCCCACTCCTCACCCCAGCCCAGCCCAGCCCGGCCTTCCTTTGCTCCAAAAAGAGCCGGGAAATGGCATTTACCGCCAGAGCGGGGCAGGCAGGAAGCCACAGCTCCTGCTCCTATGGCCGCCGAGATGACAGCTTCCAGCGCGTTGGCATTCGAGCAGATGGCATTCGACTGAAATTTTCAGCAGATTCTGCTCCATGGGGCGAGAGCTGCCAGGGAGCCCGGTCTATTCTGCACCCTCCCCGCACCCAGCCGTGGACAGAGCCCTGATCACCCAGGCGCGGGCCTCGTGTGCTGGGTGCAGTCTTCAGGACAACCCTTCAGGGTGGGTTTACCCCTTCATTTTCCAGATGAAGAAACTAATGCTCTGAGAGCAGCACACTGGGCAGGCGCGCCCTCCTCCCAGGCGGCCCCGTGGGGGCCCCGTCACAGGCCTTGAAAGCTGTGCAGGCCTCTTTCCCTGAAACGTACCCACAATCCACGCACCATTTGACATGGGGCCTCCGGGACCTGCCTGACATCCCGCCTCAGCCTGTGGAGCACAGGAGAGAAGGCTGTGATCCAAGCGACATGTGCCCAAGTCCGCAATGCCAACCAACAGCGCGGGCGGTAGGAAGCCACATGGTGCGTGCGTGCGCCTGTGTGTGCATATGTGTGCGTGTGCGTGTGCGTGCATATGTGTGCGTGTGCGTGTGTGGTGGCATGTGCATTGGAGAGAAAAGGCAAGGCTGGTCCTGGGCAGGGCTCCCCATGGCCCGAAGCAGGGCAAGGATGTGGGTCCCCGTCGGGCCCGAGCGCGCCTCTCCCATTGGCGGGCTTGAACGTGGGCTAGAACCAGAATAACCCACGCTCCTCACCCTGCCAAGTGGGGCAGGGGCATGTGCCCAGGGGCCGCCGCCAGCTTAATGGCACTTTGTTCTCTGCCTCAGAGGCCTGGTCAGCCAGCACCCCGAGTGGAAAGCGGCCAGCCCGCGCTGGAAACTGCCACCCGCTCCCCTCCCCTCCCTTTTGCAAACAAAACCCTCAGTGCGGTCACCTCAGTGCAGCCAGTGACACTCCTGTCGGCTGCGGGGAGGCCGGGCGGGAGGCCAGAGGTCACCCGACGCTGCTGCTGGGAGAAGCCGGCTCCTTCCAGGCCAGGCCGGCAGCCTTTCCGCTCAAGTGGGCTGGATGCACGAGTTCCCAGGGCGTGAGGTCATCCCACACCCCCTCAAAGAGTGCTCAGTGGCACCGGGATTCCCAAGCCTGTCGGACCCCCTGCTGGGCCCCTCCTGATAACCCGGCCCAGGAAACTCCAACCTCAGAG